TATCCAGAAGTTTCCAGAAGTTTCCAGAAGTTTCCAGAAGCATGCAGAAGCTTAAAGATGTTTCGAGAAGAAGCATTTGGAAGAATCAAGAAATATCCAGAAACAGTAAGCCTTGAGAAGCGTGATTTTTTAGTTTTATTATTTTTATGACTTCAAGTGCAAAAATGGCTCCCGACAGTCTTGGATTAGAACTAAAAAAAAGCATTATTGGCGATTACGTAAGTGGAATGTCACAAAAAAGTATTTGCGATAAATATCACGTGAAAAAATGGGTCGTATCAAGATTTTGTTTCAAATATCGTTCTGCGAGGAAGTTGGCAGCAGATAATAAAAGTGGGAGACCGCGTTCCACCACTTCTAGAGAAGATTCTATGATCGTCAGATTTGTCGAGAAGGATCCCTGGAAATCATCAGTCGAGATACAAAAGCATATAGAGCTGCCTGTATTGGACCGTACAATCAGACGACGTGCTGTTGCAGCCGGATTGTTTTCTCAACGCCCTCCAAAGACACCGCTGATTTCACTAAAGAACTACAAAAAAAGACTCCTGTTTGCTACATATCATATTGACTGGAAACGGGATGAAATGAAGAACTGTCCTTTTCATTGATAAAATGAATTTTAACATCATTTGGAGCGATGGCATTTGCGTTTACGTCGACCGGCCGGAAAACGCCTATATTTACGTTACTGCCATAAAACCGTGAAGCATGGTGGAGGCAATGTAATAGTCTGGGGGTGTTTTTTTGCTAATGTTCTGGGTTCAATACATCAAATCAATGGAATAATGGACCGTTTCATTTATAAAAATATCCTGAAAGATGTTATGTTACCTCATGCTGAATGAAATATGCCAATAAAATGGGTTTTTCAGCAAGACAACGATCCGAAACACACTGCAAATGTAGTCAAGTAGTGGTTTCAAGACAACCACCTATTGGTGATGGATTGGCAGCAAGGCCTTAATCAACAACATAGGATTCGCCACGAAATATTGAAAGCGAAATACAGCATGGTCAACATTTTGTGGAGTTGCACTTGTTTTTTTCCATAAGGAAATCAACTTTTTTTAATACTTTTGACTAATTTATTAACTTTCGTGTACAAATAATGAACTTTGTGATGAATAATACTTAAAGAACGCTGTCTCTAAACAGTTACATAGTTATTTCTCTAAATTGAAAAAATGCAGCACTTTAATATAAAGAAACTAAATTAGCATTATTTGGTTGCACCGATACTGTTTTTAATAGAATTTGTTTTGTAAGTTTTTAATAATATGTTTTTGCATATTTAGAAAATTTAGTTTTTTCAATTACTTATTTTATTTATTTATTTATGTATATACAAATATATTTAATGTATTATGAAAAAATATTTATTACATTTTTTTGTCTGTTTATTATAAAAAATGTTGTGTTTTATTATTTAAATTAACTTTGCCATAATGTGCAAAAAAGCTAAGTTTTTAATACAGGGTACATGAATTTTTATATTTTCAAATGATAATTTTTTGTTCGAATTTCTACTTCTATTTAAACTCTACTTTTTTCTAATTTATGTCAGTGGCAACTCTGGGAGCTAAAATTATTTGCATTTACGTTTTTATTTTAATTAAGTTAATCTAAAATATTTTTATATTTTTTAAATATAAAATTTCAGTCAAATATAAAACTAAATTTCAAGATCATTGGTTAAATGATAATTTTAAACAAAAATCTCCGTAGAACCATCAGCGGCACTGTGTCCACAACAAACTTCTATTCTATTCGTTGCAGAGTCGCAGTTAGCAAAAAAAGCAATGATATTGTGGGCAGTCGATATTGTGCTTTCAAAACATTCATTTTGATCAAGGGCAAACAAATCTGAATTATTTAGTGCTTTGTTTAGTAATAGTCAAATAACAATTATTTTGTGGGAAAATAAAGTGCACTTATCTTGTGGGCTTTGGAGTTTCGAAGGAAATTTTGTATAGAAGACATCTGTAAAGCTTGATCAGTTTGTTTACTATTTTGATAAATCTAACAACCAAGATGTCAAAAAAAGTCAGATGAATTTGCATTATTGTGACTCCTTATTAGAGATGGCAAAAAAAGTTATTACAACTCTGAATACTTTGGAAAAGCTGCTTCTGTCGATATTTTGATAAATTTCCGTAAATTAATAAGGAGTTTAGAAGACGATAAAATGTTTCAAGTTACCGTTGATGGTCCAAATAATAACTTTGTAAACTCAATTAGTTAGTACCAATTCATGATCATGCGGCTTCACACAATGCACTGTTCATTTAAGCATGTTACAAATACTTTGAATTTAAACAAATTATTTTCTTTGTTGAGTAAGATTTTCCATGAGACCCTCCCTATCATGCTGATTTTGAAAATTTTACTTAAGCTTAGTTTTCAGACTATGCTTTAAAGTTCTGCAACCATTTTTGGATTGAAAATGAAAAAACAGGAAAGAGAGCTTTGGAAGTATGGCCCAAGATTATTGTGATTATAAACTTTTGAAAAATTTACCAAAAAGCAAGCAACCTGGTCAATTTAGACCTGGGGAAAAAATATCAGTTATGAATACGTTTTTTATTACTATAAAGATGTGTTAGTCCCTATAAAAATGCAACTATTTAAGGAAACTGCAAACTCATTGCATCTTTTCTTGTGGAAGCACTTTAACTGAGGCTATTTTTATCAAAGTTTATCAAAAAAGAAGTTTTGTCTACAGCATTCACAACTTTTAAGTTATTGAAAGTAGATTTCTAAAATCAATTGTAAGTCACAAATTCGATCTTGAGTTTGGAATAAAATATAAGTTGCAGCAACTGAAATCTAGAAAAAAGTATTAGATGCACAAATATATCATTTTAAAACAGGAGTTCTGCAGTTTTTAGTTACAATGTGTAAACATATAGTTAAAAAAAGTGTGCTAAAACTTTATTTTGACAAGTTGTTGCTGAAATTAGTTGCTTATAAAAAGGTATTACCTTCAATTGCTGATCAAGCCAAATTGCAGTATTTATAGTATTCACAATTTTTAACTATTTTTGTAAAAGTAAACAAGAAGAAGTTTCTTGGATTCAAAAAAAAAAGGTGATAAATTGGATTCTTTTTTGACTCAATTTGTTCAGTATGCTTTTTTGGTTTATCATACAATTGCAGATGCTTTAAGATTCAATTTAATGAAAATTAACCAATTTTTACTAACATTCTCCCATGACCAAGCACAAGTAGAGCGTGGATTTAGTATAAAAAACCAACTTCTGGATAATAATGTGCTAATTTATACTCTTGTTGTACAGTGTATTGTACATGACCACATGTGCAGTGAAAATATAAAATCATCCCACTTGGCTTTGACAAATAAAGTTATCGGCCAAGTCAAGGATGCACAAAAACTCTACTTTATATACTCTTGTTTATTATCACGGTCAGTTTTTAAGGCCTTGAAGGCCTTAAAAACTGATCGTGATAATAAACTGAAAAATTTTAATGAAGAGATTACTAGTTAGGATGAAGACACTATTTATTTTAAAACTGTTCTATATTTACTGACATTATTAAAAAGTTGTTAAAGTCTTTTTATCATCTATATTAGATAATCTTTGATATAATATGATTTTGGTCACCCTCCCCATTTGAGTTAAATTTTGAAAACTTATGATCAATTTTTTCAAATGTTACTTTTATTCATATAAAGTTATTTATGTCTTTATTTTATATTTATTAGCTTTTATATGCGAGGTTTTTAATTAAGATGTATATATATGCAAGGTTTTTAATTAAGATTGCTTTTATATGCATGGTTTTTAATTAAGTACATGTACTATTTGTTAACTTCCGTGAATGTAACAACTATTTCAGAAGATATGAACTGATTGATTGATTAAGATATATACCTAAAGCAAAAAAAATTCCAAGAGCCGTCCTTTTTAATTGAAAGTTAAAAGGTACGGGATGCCCTTCTGTACAATGATAAAAACTAATGTTTATTAATTGGAAGTGTAATAACTATAAGGAAAATATATCACTTCATTGTTAAAATTATAATCAGTTTTACTCAACTTTTTATTCAGTGGAAATAAATGGTTTGGTTTATGACACGCCCAATTAATTATAATAAAAAACCGGTGTAAAACCGGTTACCTTGTTTTTTAATTTAAAAACACCAAAAAATGTCTCAATTTTTCCGGTTTTTACCAAGTCTTAGAAGCAATCAACGGTGACGGATCCAGAATTTTTTTTTAGATATTATTGTATTTTGTATCACCTTTGCGTCTCTTTAAATTAAAAAAAGTTCCTCAATTTCTAAGATATTTTAGGACTTTGGTCTGGTGGGGTTGGGGGGCAAGGGGTTGTATACCCCCATACCCCTTGATGAGTCAATACCAATCAACTTTCAATCTCAATAAAAATTTAGAAAAATAATTTGAACTAAAAAAGTTATAGTTTTGTACAAGCTTAAAGTATCAATTTATATTTTTATAAATAACAAAAATATAAAACTTTATAGGGGAGAGTGGGATAATGGCAAACGTGTGGTTATTAAACAAGATCAAAACAGCATTAAAAAAAAATAAATTTGACTAAATTTTTACCTGCTGAGAGGGATCTCATGCTCAGTTCCAGACGTGCAGTAGTGTAATGAAAATGCCGTTCACTATAATTTAATTTTAACTTTTTCTGATAGTTTTGTGCAACTTTTTTCTTGAGTAACATTCTGTTGTAGCTTCTATGGATATAAAACCACTCCTTATTTGTTGTTGTTGTTGTTGCTGCATAGTATAATTTTTACACTTAGATATTACAATTAGCTTTTTATTTGTTATTACACAACAGTGTTTGTGATTGCCCCCCCCCCCCAACCTTTTTGTATAATTGATGTCTTTAATACGCATTCCCGCTTAGGAGTTCGCCAATACCCTTTGCTCCCCTAGACTAGAAAAAAAAATTTTTTTACTATTTTTTTTAAAAAATGTATAATATTATTTTTTATTATTTAGTTTTTTCAATTCAATTGTTGAATGTAATTGGATACGATTCCGTAACCGAAGTTATATATGGACGCACCCATAGAAATAATGTTATTGAGATGAACATAAATAACAAAAAACCTTTAATTATAACTATGGAAAGATGTTCTAAATTAAATGCATGCCAGCCATTTTTCAGTTAAAAATGAAATAATTGGAAATGTTTCTGTGAATATCTACATCTTATACGCAAAGCGATAAATTTCATTTTTATTTTTCAATTTTAAATAAAAGTTTATCTAGCCGCACGTAGAAAAAATAAAGAAATGCACCAACCACATTATAATAACAAACAATTCATATAAAAGTTTGCGACGTGAATATACATGTATATGCTTATAATTTACCAAGATAGAATTAATATGTTTACAAATAAATTATTTTTACTTTAAATAGCATTACGTTTTTTACGTGTATATGAAATGCTATTCTATAAGCTTAAAGAATTCTATAACCTGTGTTCATTTTACTTTTTTAGATATAAACATAATTTCGTTTTCTAAATAAATAAATTTTCTTCAAACTTAAAAACCATACTTTAAGAAAAAACACTGAATAAAATGTATAACTGAAATCAAAATGACAAATGGCAAAATTTGTGCGACTGCATTTGTAATTAATCTGAATTGTTCATAGAATTGATTTGTTATATCTTCTTAATGTAGGAAAACATCAACCACGAGACTTTATTAAAATTAATTCATATAAATGTACAACTTCCTGATGTTAAAGTGAGTTGGAGTTAATACATGAATAATATTTAGAAACAACGTTTCATGGAATGCTGGATTACCCAATAAGCCAGATTTGTGAGTGACTAGGGTCCTCAAAACTTAGATTTTCCAAAAAATTAAAAAAAAAAAAAAATTTAAAACATTTTAAATTTATTTTTTTCTTTTTATTACTATTTAAATATTAGTTGATACTACCTATGACCGCTTGTATGGTAAAGATGCAAACATGATATATACTTAAAAAAAAATAACTATATTAGAACAAGAGCTGATTATCAACAAGAATGTCAACCCCACCATTTTATTTTCTACAATGTTAATGCAAAAACAAAAAATGTTCAATACAATTGTTATTTTTTTAAATCTAAAGGTGAGTTTCCCCTCATCCGTTTTTTCACGGCAACGGGAATGCGAAGGAAAAAATAATTACGTGGGCATGCGTATTATAAGTTTTAAAAGGTCTGCAAGCTCACGTGATTTTTTTACTCTTTCCTATCCCGTTCCCGGATGAGTTGAAACTTACCTTTATCAAAAAAAAACGGATTTATGAGCCGTTTTTTCTAAGAATCAGGCAAATTCCTGAAACTGTGGAAGTGACCTCGTCCAAATTGCTTAAATTTTTTATATATTGATCAGAATATAGAGAAAACCTGTTGGTTAAAAACAAAATTTTCAAAAATGTTTCGTTCACTCGGAATCTGGGCTTAAATTTTTGAGATTTTTTTAAAAATTTTCAGAAATTTAGTTTTTGCCACCATTGAACCCATGTTTTTAGCAAGGCAAAAAGTTGCACATAGCTTTTGTAGTTAATATCAGACGTAACCCAAAAGCTCTCTTCAAAAAATATAAAAAAGTTGCGTGACACTGTGCGGTTGGCTAATTATCATAGTTCAAAAGTACAAAAAAAATCAGTTTTGTCAATTTTTAATCGGAGTTAATTCTAGCGGCGAAATGTTGCACACAATTTTTCGGCGAAATGTTGCACACAATTTTTAAGATTTGAAATTATTAAAGGTATTGAGTATAAAAATGCAAAGAAAGTTATGTGATGCCTAAGGCCTATTAATATATTAAGGCTTGAAATTGGAAAAAAATGTTTTATTATACTTACAAAATGAACCATTACGGCAGAGGCGCTTAGTTTTGTAAAAATGTAAACTTATCCAACTGTCAATACAAACAGGTCCTAACATAATAATAAAAAAAAATCGTGTGATTTTGTCAAACGCATGATATAACATGAATTAAAAACTGAACAAAAATCTAACATCAAAATAACTATATTGCTAATTAAATAAAACATAAATCAAACGTTTAAATGTTTTTCCATTAGTTAAATTAGTTATTCATTTATTAATAGAGTCATTTAACAACATTATCCACCACATCACACATAATTTCTACTCTGCTGCAGTAAGTTTCTCTAAGAATAATGATATGACTGTATTATAGTCTTCTTCGGATAATGAATAATCGCCACAACCACTGATTAGAAAAGGAGCATTCAGTAAACAGATAATTTTATCAGTTTGGTTATTTATCTCCTGGGTAGTAACTGGTCAGCGAAAAGTATTCTTCTCTTGCCCGTTAATCATACAATTAACTCTGATCCCAGTTATAGATACCTAAAAGTATTAGCGCAACATTTAAAATAATATAATAAAGAGTTTTCAATTTGTTTAATTTTGCTTACATTTAATAAAACTTGTTAAGTCTTATATAATGTCATTCTGAAATTATTTTTACATTTTATTTATATTCCTTTTATTTTAGAGCACTGTTTTGTAAAACAAAATAAAAACTTGAAACTAATATATACTTTGAATATTATTACCTCCACAATATATCTAATATTCCATTGTTTTTAATATGCAACAGCAACCCAATCATTCACTTTCCATACAAGACAAATTTCTTTTGCAAGATTGGCGATGTCTTCCTCATATTTATTATCATCTTTATTGTCTTCTGTCAGATTAAAGTCATCATTTTCGGCATAAACTTCTTTGTTATCGTTAACCTGACTATTTTCATTATTTTCTGTTGTCGGTTCTACCAGCTTACCTTATCTTTTCAGGTTACTAAATCTATAACAATATCAAATGTACATATTTTTAAACATATGTAAACAAATACACAAAATTATAACTTTCACCTAAATTTTAATTTCATATTTGTAAAAGAACTATTTAACAGTCAGAAACATAATCTAATTTGCAAAAGTTTTGATAGCAACAATGCTTACCTTGAAAATAAAGATCTTATCTGTTGGCTAGTTACATATTGATCAGGCGGAAGTTCTCTCCTCAGCTGCATGTGAACCTGCTCAGGGCTCATTTTATTACCTGATTCTTCTCCACGAATAAAGTATTTATACAACAGTTCTTTCTGCTGATTTGAAAATCTAAAAGAACTTCGAACTGGTAATGCCCAACCTTGCAATAGAAAAATGTTCATGCAATGTGGTTTGTCTTTTACGGAAGCACTGTTAGAGGATGAAGAAATTGGCATATTTAGTTGTGAAGTAACTTTCATCTTATGAACAAACGAGTTGCGAACTTTATCCAATGATGTTAATGATTTCGGAACTGTATGAAGATCGGATAGCATGTGTTCTTCTAACTCAGCATCGCTTTCAAATGATAAAGTACAGTTCATTTCAGTGCAAAATCCTAATGAATATAAATGCCTGTCACTTCTTTTCTGTTTTTCCTTAAGTGACTTGTTACGCTTAATTTAATTATCTGTTTTGCTATATGGCAACAATAACTTAATCAAGGGTTGAATTTTAAGATTTCCATACTCTTGTTCAATTCCCTCACCGATATTGAAATAACGCCACATCTTCATACTTTTCTCACCAAACTCAAATGAGTGATAGTTGCTAATGTTCTTAATCTTTGGTCCAGTAACTACAGTTTTATCATTGCGAATTTGAGCAATTGCTACTTTTGCATTTTTAGCGCCAAAACTATAATACATAGCCTTGTGTATACCTTCAGCAGTCAACAGATTATTACCAGAGTCAACCCAACTCCTTAAAATTGTCTTTACAACCGCACTCTCCCTGTCACATTGATTTTTCCACAACAGGGTTCATTATAATCATATCTCAGCAACTTTATATCTCTCTCTTTGCATACATTGTAGATTGCTTCAGCTGAAAGATTTCCCTGATAGCAGCCGGCATTATCAGATTTGGTAAACATTTTCTTGATATGCGGTTGATCAATTCTGAATTGGTCTAAAACTGCAGTGGCTAACGAAACAACATCACCGATTCCCTAATCACACCTATACATTGAAGTAAAGTAAACACGTTTGAATAACTTTCCTGCTGTTTTTATGAAGAATATATCTACATGTAAACTCATTCCTAATTTGCCAAAATACTCTCTTTGGCCCTCTCTGTATCGAGCCGGAAAAATTTTTTGACAAAAATCTTTAAGCTAGAAAGCAGTTTCATCGTTTAATTGCTTAAAAGCTTCATTTTTTGGCTTTTTCTGTTGAGAATCTCTCATCAGGTGTTTTATGTAGTTGAATAAATCCTTTACAGCAATTTCCAAATCATAAATAGAATCAGCATCGTCAGAATTTTGAATTGTTAGTTCTTTGATCATCTCGATAGCTTTGCACAAATCATAGCAATCGGCACATACTACTTCTGATATCTCTGTGTTGGATTGAAGATTTTTTTCAGATGGATCTGAAAAGGCATGTTTTGAGCTATGAGAAGAAATTTTGAGTCATTGACACTACAATTGGTTTGATAACTTGTTTTCAAATACCTTTTTCCTTTTTCAAGGGCAGCTTCGAGAGATTTAGAACTAAATCTTTGTGCCAATTTTTGTAATGTTTCAAAATCATTCATTCCTGAAGCAGTAACATCATCTAATCCAGCTAAGCTTTTTCGACTTGAAGGTTTTATTGCATGCAATACTTGAAACAGAATATTGTATATAATTGTTTTTACTTGAATCAGATAATGGTATATAATTGTTTTTACTACAACTTTTTCGATAGAACATGATAGCGTGGCTATATTTTGTCGTCAGTATTGCATGCACTATCTTATGTTCTTCACCGCTGTCGTATTTTAATTTGGTTGTTCCATAAGCAACATCATGCAAAATACCGCTTGAAAATATAAAGTCTAAGAAATGTTCACACTTTGTTTGATCAAGACTAGATCGGACGAATACTTTCTTCTCTGGAAATGCCAACCCTTTATGAGATGCATTCCATTTTCTTGCTGTTTCTATACGATGTTTGGTACACTCAAATGTGTTCATTATAAACTTTTTGGTATACTTGGTATGGTCTAATAATGAGAAGATAACTAACATTCCCATGGAATCACTTTGCTTATATACTTTCTGAGCACGAATAATTTCAATTGGGAGAGGGCTATTTATTTCATCAACATTTTTACTGTTAAGAAAATCTCTAAGTATTTCCGTTTGTCCAGGAGCAACGGCTTCCGCAAATTTTTTCTTCAATTAGTTTTCTAGGCGAACATACTTGCGTTTTAACTTATCTTTAGTAGTATCTTCCAGATATTCGAACTTCCTTTTTAATCTAAATTTTATTGGACTTGCATTAAGAACCTCAGTTACACTCTCACGGCTCCTTAGAGATTCGTCCAAAATCTCCTGTGAAACATTAATTTCACCGGGATCAAATTCTTTATCTGGAGTAGCAGGTGTCATATATGTTTGTTTTTGTTGTGTTTGTGTTTCTGTACATAAATTGGTGTTTTCGTTGACTCTAGATAAAGCAGTTTCTTGCATTAAATGGGTAAAACACAGCATTGCACAAACTGAAAATACTTCATTGTATCGCTTTGACATTGATATGACGACATGTATTGGTGACGCCCTTAAAGCGGATGGAGGACTCCATGCAATACCAAACGTGTACCGGTAAAAAGCACATATTTGTTTATCCTTTTCAAGATTTCTTTTAAGTCTATTTGCAATAAGTCCATTTTCTTCCCAAATATTATTATCGTTTAATCGCATGACCTAAAAACAATTTTTTAAACAATTATTAAGTGTGTCATTTAAAGCATTGTTTATAATCTGATTCTTCACGAAAAATGTTTACAAGTTTGAAATACATTGTTTTTATTAGTAAAATACAATATTGCAAGAGTGTGATTAATTTAGTGATTATTTATTAAAAGAGTAAGGAATTAATTAAAAGATCAATTTTTTTTTGTTTAAAGAACTTTGTCTCAAAATCTTATTGCAGAGAAGTTATAAAGTATGTAATTATAAAAATTATATTACAGTCTGCGTAAATTTAAAATACATAATTACTTTTAAGTTGATGAGGTGTTTCTTAACATCAACATCTCCCAGCTGATGAATGTAGAACATTTTGTTTATAATATTATATTTTTTGAATGATCCACAATTTCCTTTTGAAAAGCATCAACAGTTTTCATAAAAATATTTGTTTTGTCCCATACTCAACTAAAAACAAGTTATATTTATGCAGTACCTATTTCTCAATAGCAATGATAAAATATCTACTCTATTTATGCAAATTTTAAAGATTGTTAAAATAAAGTTAAGACATTTTTATGGTAAAGTAAACAACCGCCCACTAACTTGTTTCTCCGCAATCGTGATATCAGCGATTCTTCTTCCATTCGATCACCACAAGTTATTTGGTTATGACGTAAATTTAAACAATTCACTTCTGATCATGTATTGTTTTTTATTATTATTTATTTCAATTTTTATGATTTCTATATCATAGTCAGAAACGCTTAAATTGTTTCTTAACATTACGTGCAATGTTTTGTGTAATGCTAGTTGCTAATTTTGGATGATAGAAATTTTATTGTGAGCGAAAACCTCATCTGTGTGTCCAAAAAAATATCTCTTTGTACTTAATCATTTTTAACAACTTGTACCTTTATTTTTAACTTAATATCTAAAGATCACATGAGTTTTTTTTTTATGTTAGGGTCATCTTATATTGACCATTTAACATGATTATATTTTTACAAAACTTAGCGCCTCTGCCGTAATAGCTCACTTTGTAAGTATACTATAACATTTTTTTCCAATTTCAAGCCTTAATATATTAATAGGCCTTAGGTATCACATAACTTTCTTTGCATTTTTAGACTCAATACCTTTGATAATTTCAAATCCTAAAAGAAAAATTGTGTGCAACACTTCGCCGCTAGAATTAACTCCGATTAAAAATTGACAAAACTGATTGATTTTGTACTTTTGAACTATGATAATTAGCCAACCGCACAGTGTCACGCAACTTTTTTATATCTTTTGGAGAGTGCTTTTGGGTTACGTTTGATATTAACTACAAAAGCTATGTGCAACTTTTTGCCTTGCTAAAAAAATGGGTTCAAAGGTGGCAAAAACTAAATTTCTTAAAATTTTTAAAAAAATCTCAAAAATTTAAGCCCAGATTTCGAGTGAACGAAACATGTTTTATTTACATAAAGTTGTAATAGAGATTGTAATAATGATTTTAGGGTAACCTGGGGCAAAGCGAGACACCGGGGCAGAGGGAGACATTTAGACTTTCTAGCATTGTATAGATTTTTTTTAAAATGCTACAGTAATTTTGGTTTATTCTATTAAAAGTTTCATGTTTTTTAATATTTTAAAGTAGTTTCCATCGGTTTTTCTCATAATTTGACGGAAAAGTGGGTTTAAAGCGTACGAGTAGCGTCAATTTGATTAAAAAATCAAAATTAGTTCTTTTTGTGTGGAAAAAATCCACCTACGCTGCCATTTTTTACTGCAGAACAAACATATTATTAAGTTTGTAATCATTTATTTGTTATCTTTTATCTCCCATTCTTCTTTTTATGTCAGATTATTTTGTTTCAAAGATATTTAAGAAATATATAACTTTACATTTACGGGGAAAAGTGCGACAACGCTAGTTACTGAACGTTAAAGAAAGCAAGTTTATAAACTTAATATATCGTCAAAGTAAACGTTTACGATAGCAAGTTTATAAACGTGGCAAGTTTAAGTTTCTATAATCATTTTATGAAAAGAACAAAGAGAAAAAACAAGAGGAAAAAAAAAAAAAAGAACAATAAGAAAAAAAAGTTACTGGAAAAGAAAAATGACAATAAATAAAGTAACACAATTATAAAAAAGAACAATAAGAAAAAAAAGTTACTGGAAAAGAAAAATGACAATAAATAAAGTAATACAATTATAAAAAAGAGCAATAAGAAAAAAAAGTTACTGGAAAAGAAAAATGACAATAATTAAAGTAAGAGAATTATAAATAAGACAAAAAAGAAAAACAAAAAAATAATGAAATGCTTGATTTATAAAGATGTAAACAATTAAGAGGAATGGTTTTTTCCAGTTTGTAAAGGGAATTGGTGCAATAATACCAAAATGACTGGATAGCTTGATGTGTATGTACTGTGTATGAACACGAGGACTGTACTTTAAACGATGATTGCTTTTTAAGTGTAAAGACTTTATTCAAATTTGTTGAATAACTCGAAACTTTTCATATGCATTTTTTTTTATTGATATTATTTTTGATTTTTATAATTTGGTATTTTATATTTTTGATTGATAATTTTTCCTATCATTTTTTTTGATTTAAAAGGAAAAATTATATTATAAAATGAAACCTTTGTGTTTTAT